AACTCCCTTCACCTTGGATAACACAAAATACAAAATGGCCACAAAATAACACAGTTACTCCACTTCGTAAAATTTTCTGCGAAGCGCTTTGAGACATCGTGACGACGTGATAAGGCGCTATATCAATTGCATTATTATGAGATATATATATATGTGTGTGTGTGTGTGTGTGTATAATGCCTCGGAACAATTTACAAAGACAGGATTGGATACCGAGGGTGGGAGAGGAGGAGGGTGGAAGGGGGAAATGACCAGAGGTGGGTCTTAAGGCAGGGTTTAAAGTGAGGGAGGGATCCAGGCAGAGGGATTGAGGCGTAGAGTTCCAGAGGTTGGGGTGTAGCGGATGAAGGCACAGCCACCGATGGCGGTGAGGAGGGATCGGGATGGGGGAGGGAATGTGCAGTGGGTGAGAAGTGGTGCTGATAAGAGGGTGACCGAATGACACGTGTTTAAGTGCATGTTTTTTTTTAACCTGCCCGACTGACGTTGTGGAAAAACAGCGATGGCAATCTGTCCGTCAGAGGCGCCAAATAAGGCGATCTGTGGTTTGGCAAGTCAATCCCTGGGTGTGAATGGACGATGTCCATTGCAGAGCCAAAGATTAGATAAAACCACTGCGATTGAGCATCACTCCGCTGAACGTATCTGGGTTATGTCACAGTGTTTTGCGCACACCCATGCACACAAACACACGCACTCCCCTCGCTCTTTACCTCCTGAGTCGCCAGGAACCCCCGAACCGTTCCTCCTTCTTGCGTTTGTTATTCAATGGAAGTGAAATCATTTTTTTTATATGTAGTTATTTAAAAAATACATTTAACTTTCACATCAGAAGCACGTCCTAAACAGTTCAACAGTGGGTGTGGGGTGTGTGGGGCGCGGGGGGGTGGGGTCAGAGAGGAAGGGTTGGAGGAAGGGTGGAATTTCTAATCTGGTGCAATGGAAGTGAAGGCTACTCAGGCTGACCTTGGCCCAAGACGCAATGTAGAATGACCGCACTCACTGATTCAGAGAAATATGTCGCACTTCAGTGGGATACGATTAAGCAGCCTATATATATATCCCAGGGGGCAAGCGGACTAGCAATCCTGTTTACAGATAGAGTGAGAATGCCACAGTAGTGCCTTTTGGAAGGAACCCAGAAAGTATGTTAGGAGAATCAAGGCCGTGTTTACCAGGGCTTCTCGCTCTCTGAGTGGAAGAGCAGTTTATTAGTCCTGGTTATAAGGAACGTTTCAAGGACATAGCCTAGTCAGCCAGGCACCCAGCAATCCCTTCGCCCTCAATGGCCCCACTTTCTGACCGACTGGGCTAAAGAGAGAGAAAGAGAAGTTCAACTGTGCAAAGCAAAGGGGTCGGTCGGTCAGTCACACTCTGAGTCAGAAAGTTGCGAGTTCAGGTCCTAATTTGGAACTTTTGAGTTCACGGTCTCCGCTGATGCTCCAGAGGAAACATACAAATGAGATGAAATCTGGCACAAGTTCTACAGATACTGTGGAATAATGCAAATTACCCAAAGAGGAATCCTGTATCTCAGTGGTTAGAGCACTTGTCTCGCAAGCGAGAGACCTGGGTTCGATTCCTGGGCAGGGCGAAATGTCGGGCAGGTTTTCTGGATCACTTTTCCGGGGATAATTATCCCTAAAAATAAAACTAATGATTTGGTCATTCAATCCACAACTGTTTGTGGGACACTGTTACGACCTGAAACCCCAACTTTCTGACTCTGAGCGTGACTGACTGCTGTGGGCAATTGGCTGCTGTGTTTCGCCCATAAATATACAGTCAATTCACTTTACAGTATATTCTGTGAAGTGCTTTGAGACGTCGAGAAGCCGTGAAAAGCGCTATATCAAATGCGAGGATTATTATTATTATTACCATTACCCAAGTTGGTTTGTGAGAGAAATCAATTTGTTACCATGTTTCTCAGTTACCACATTTTGGCAATGAAATAACATAATATTTATCAAGCGAGGGCTGTCTTTGATTCACCTTCGGGCAAACCATCTCCAGTTTCCCACCAAAAAAACCTTATTACAGCCTGAAAGCTTCAATAAAAGCCGCATCCGCCCAGATTGCTTTCGACGATTTTTTTTAAAAACAAAATTTCTCTGCAACGCACAGTGCATGGGAGCCATGGACTGCGGTGAGGGGGGTGGGGTGGGGTGGGCGGTTAGGGCTCAGCGAGAGAAATACTCATTTTGTTTCAAAGCCAGCGAGCCTTGGAAGTGAAACCAATAAGTCACATTTAAGAGGAGAGGGATTGCTTCTCACACAGCTGCGCTGGGGGAAAATATCAAACGCAGCGCTGAGTAATTGATGTTTTAATCAAAGCCATTGCCACCTTTTTATAATCGATGCTTCCTGTTCGATCTTTACCAATGCGTGTGTTTGCGGGCGCGTCAACCTGGCGCAGTGGTGGTGCTCTCGCCTCCCGAGTCAGAAGGTCGTGGGTTCAAGCCCCACGTCGGGACTCGGAATCGCATCGTCTACAGTGACGCTCCAGTGCAGTGCTGGGGGGTGAGTTGCATTGTCAGGTGGACGTTCAAAGATCGCATGGCACTATTTGAAAAGAGAAGGGAGTTTTTCTCTCCCGGTGTCCTGGGCCAAGAATCCCCCAAATAAAATTGGTCACTCGGTCATGGCTGTCAGTGGGACTGTGCTGTGCTTATAGTTTGGGTTTTAATCCTCGTCAACTTTTTCCATCGTGGGGTACGAGGGGGGGTGGTGGGAGAATCCCGGGGTGCAGTCATTTCAGGCCTCCAGTACCTTGGCTGAGTCTCCATTCACTGTTACGGGAGGAAGCCTTTCACAGTGAATGTGCTCAGGCTGTTTGACTGTGGGCCGATGTAGCTGATCTGGGCTGAAACATCACTGACTCTTGTTCCTGAGACGTGAGAAGCCGAGTGTGATGGTGTTATAGCTGGAAAGGTAAAGCCCTCCAACTGGCAGGCCTCTGTGACTTGGCGTCCTTCACTGAGGATATATTGGAGAGCCGGGAGGAGGTGGAGTGTGGTGGATAATACTCAACACTTCAAGGGGTTTTCAATAATCCCAGCAAATGATACTTCTCGAAGGTCATTGTGAAACTCCGAGATGTTGTGCTACGTGGCAGGCATTCTATAAATAAACGCAAGCTGTCGTCGTAATGAAACACCTCGAGGCACTTCGCAGGATAGAGCTGTCAAGGGTAGTGACTGTGTATTTACAGGCGAGCCATTTGGCACACAGCAACGCTCCTGCGCACAGCCATGAAGTGAACGAGGGAACTGTTGACGAGGGCGGTTCAACACCCCTGATATCTGGAACTCCCATCCTCAACCCCTCCGCCTTGCTGCCCCCCCCCACCCCCACTCCCTTTCAATTCAATCTGTGTTTAAATCCCACCTGAAAACCTTTCCCTGTCAGCTAGTTACCCATTTCCCTCGCTCGGCGTCCGTCCCCGACACTGTCCAGCGCTCTGAGCCATGACCCCAAGTGAAGGGCGCTGTGTAAATGCAAGTCATCGCTCCTGTGAATCGCTTCATTAAGAATTCGCGGCTCTCCCAGGACGGGCGTGTGCGCTCTCTGCGGAAACGATCCGAGACAAACAGTGGCAACAGGAGTTGCTGAGGAAACGGCTTTGGCTCCTGAAACGAGACGAGACTCTGAGCCAACAGCGCAGCCACTTTTCCTGAATCGAAGCCACTTGGTCAGAGCTGGGATCTGCCAACAACAATCACAGCCTGATTTCCAGTCTCCCCACCACCCCCTCCCACCACCCCCCCCCACCCCCACCATCTCCTCCCTCCACCCAGCAATACGACAGACTCAAACAGTTCATCAGCGGAGCCCAACCTAATGACAAATTGTTTGGTTAGTCTTTCAGACCAACTATTTTATTTTCTCTCTGCGTCCGTCGATAATTCGGTTTGATTGACTCCCCCTCTCACCGCTCCCTCCCTCATCCTCGCTGAACCATCGCGTTTCCTTTTAGTGACATTATAATTCCGTGGCCGTCTTGCTGTTTTTTTTGGCAGAGGTGAGCAGCTCATGCGAAAAACAGATGAGTTTTTTATATATATATATATATATATACACACACACACAATAGACACAGCAGCTTCTGGCTTGGGGTTTTTGGTGGCGGGAAGGGGGCCAGTTCAGGGGGTGGGAGCGAGACTATAATAATAATAGTCCTTGCATTTGATTTAGCGCCTTATCAAGTCATTGAGACGCCTCAAAGCGCTTCACAGAATATACCGTAAGTGGATTGACTGTGTATTTTGGGGGCGAAACTCGGCTGCCCAAAATCGCGCAGCAGTGACCAAATTCAAAAATAAAAGTGGAGGGGTTGTTACCCTAATAATCTATTCACGTAAGCGTACGCAAAGACCCAAAGTATTAACTCTGCTGAACATCGCCTTGCCGGGGTTAAGCTTTACTCTCTCTACTCCGACCACTTCCCCAATCGCTTGCGTTTTTAAAAGAAAATGAATATCTGACCAGAGCGCGAGGCTGAGGAGGTGAATAACGAGGGCAGCACATGGCAGGCCACCAACTGGCTTCGGTGGAGCAAGCTTCCTCTTGAGACCAAAAAAAAAAAATCCTAACCTCTCGGGTTCAGTTGTTGGTTTCTTCTCTGGTTTTAACGATCGCCCCTCAAACACGAAGCGAGCGAACCTAAACTTGTTCTGGGTTTAATGAGCGAGATGGAAGAACTTCTCTTTTTTTTTTCTCGCGGCCATGTTAAAAACAGAAGCTCGCTTTCCAAAAATAATTGGAATATTGTACTTTGCAGAACACGACATGAATTCAACATAGTGAACTGAGCGCCCGATAAACCACACCGCGCCCCGACACACACACAGAGAGAGAGGAGGAGTGTGGTGTGTCTTGTTCTTTAAATAATAATAACAATCTTTGCACTTGATACAGCGCTTTTCAAGTCCGGAGAACGTCTCGAGGCGCTTCACAGGAGTTTGATCGTAAAGTGTAGAGATTTTGTTTGAAGACCGAGTCCTGTAGCTCAGTGGTTAGAGCACTCGCCCTCCAAGCGAGAGGGCTTGGGTTCAATTCCCGGGCAGGGCGAAACCTTAGGCAAGTTTCCTTACTCCAAACGACTCTGTTTATCTAGCAGTAAATAGGAACATGGTTGTTAGTCGATTGGCCGGATCGCTTTCTGGGGTAATAATCTCTTCAAAATAAATAAACAAAATAATATTAATGATTTGGTCACTCAATCCACACTGCTGTGCGCTATTATCAGCCGGGTTTCAACCACAAATATACAGTCAATTCACTTTACAGTGTGTTCTGTGAAGCGCTTTGGGACGTCCTCCCGACGTGAAAAGCGCTATATCAAATGCAAGGATTATTATTATTATTATTATTTACAGTATATTCTGTGAAGCGCTTTGAGGTGTCAAAGTATCAAGTGCAAGGATTATTATTATATTTTATTTTAGACCAACATGGCAGCCAATTTAATGTGCTCACAGCCATGAAGTGAAAGAATCTGAATCTGAGTCATTCTTCTTTAAGTCGTTAATTCTCCTTAGGGGAAGGAAACACTTCCTGGTTTCTGTCCTGAAATTGCCTCTTTACTGCTCTAAAAAACCCGTGTTTTCTTGTGTTCTGCTGCCTCAGAGCATTTGAAAGTATTGTTCTGAGTTTACTTCCTCAATTCCCAATCTAACAGAACAATACTTTCAAATGCACACAGTGAGAGAGCTGAACGCTCACTCGGTTTGAGGTATGAGAGGATTGAATCGCTAGGCAGGACGCAACATCTTATTCCATAATTGGTGCCAATTAACTGTGAATTAGATCTGTGACGGTGTCTGTTTGTTCATTGTTACCTGAACTCAACCTTCCTGTTCATTGTTGTGAACAAATGCAGTGCAGTTTGGTGGTGTGTATGTGTGTATGCGCACTGCATTGTCTGATGAGACGTTAAACCCATCTGTGCCCTGTCCTGACCTGAAAGGCGGCATGCAAGTGTAATTTATTGTTGTTGTTGGATGTTAAACATCTCATCCACGGTATTGGAAGAGTGTGGGGGGAGAGGGGGAGGAAATTCTACAGCAAAAAATCATTTAAACCATTGGCTTGGTGTTGCCTTCCTTTCAAAATCTGATTGATTCACCCCAGATACATTGCATATTTGGGCCTAATTTGCGCTGTTTCTAAATGGCTTTTCTTTATCAAGGAATCCCATTGGAATCCTTTCCCACCCCACCCCACCCCCCCCCCCCACCACTCCCCAGGCTCCAGCAGTAGATTTCCCTGGAGGGGAATTACTGTGCGTCTGTGTGATGTACTCCAACACCCCCCTCCCCACGCCAACCGAGAGGGTCCTTGTTTATTTGGTTCCTTGTTAGGGGATACGGTTGAGAAATAATTCAAATTGGACCCCAGTGTGTGTGTGTGTGTGTGGCTGTCTGACTGACTGACTGAGGCACTGCATAAAATTGGCTTTCTGTAGTGTGTCACTCGCTGTTACCTTTGCAGAATCCCCCCCGAGGATAAGCGCTGATCTGATTTGTAAATTTCCCGAGCTTCGGTTTGCAAAGCAGCTGCTTTGATGAGGTTTAGCTATGAAGAGCAAAGCCTTTTACTTTCAATTCAAGTCAGTCAGTGTTAAAACAACGCACAGGAACATTATACTCTGTGTGTGGGTGAGTGATGTGTGTTCATTGGATATGGTTTGGTTGTGTGCGTATGTTAGATTGTGATTGTGTGTGTTGTTTGGTGTGTGTTGTATTGTGTGTGTGGTTTGGTATTGTGTAATTGTGATTGCGTATGAGACTAATACAAACACGTTGCTTGATTTATAGATGTTTGTGAGGTCAGGGTATAACAATAATAATCCTTGCATTTGATACAGAGCCTTATCACGTCATTGAGACATCTCAAAGCGATTCACAGAATATACTGTAAAGTTAATTGACTGTGCATTTTGTGGGCGAAACGTGTAACCAGGTTGAACGTGTGTCGATGCCTGAAATGCCGCATATCTGGTACAATGGGCACATTTATACAGTTACCGGTAGGAGGAAAAATTCCTCTCTCCAAATGGCAATGAGACATCAGACACTGAGTGGAGCCTGAGTGTGAATAGCTCCCTTGTGTCACCAGAAAGGCATGTGGCTAGGCAGCGGTAATGAGTAACGTGGAAAAGTTATCAGCTGATTTATAAATCAGCAAACTAACTGTATCCAGCTCAGGAACATTTTTCCAGGCTCGTCACATAACTGGGATTCTGCTGCACTCGGGGGCTGGAATTCTTTCTGCTCTCGAGAGCAAAATCTTTTGTTTGCCAAAGACCTCGTGGTTAGTCGATTGGCGGATCGCTTTCTGGGGGTAAAAAATAAGCCCTCAAAAAAAAATTCATGACTGTTTGAGGGACATTGCTGTGCGAAATTGGCTGCCGCGTTCGCCCACAAATATACAGTCAATTCACTTTACAGTGTGTTCTGTGAAGCGCTTTGGGACGTCCTCCCGACGTGAAAAGCGCTATATCAAGTGCAAGGATTATTATTATTATTTTATAATATATTCTCTGAAGTGCTTCGGGATGTCTCAGCGACATGATAAGCGTCCTTCAAACACAGATTAGACAGTTTTCTTTTGGGAAATAACGTTATGGGATATAGTACAAAGGTAATTTGGGACATACGTGCAGAAGGGTGGAAGACAAACTAGATGGATCTTTTTACGTCTAGTATTATGTGCTTTATAAGGTGCTATATCAAATTCAATGATTATTATTATCATTATTAATATTAATCAGGCCGGGAGCTGTTGAGCTGTAATCACTGGCTCATTGCGGTCACTTGCTGCCGATTCCCTTTCCCTGCTTCCCTCGCAGGCTACCGCAGATCAATACAGTTTAAGTTGAAAGGCTTTTTGCCCATTGCCCTACATTGCTCACAGACCAAAGATCCTAGATTCACAACAGCTGGAGTTTGTGGGATCCCAGCCAGGCTACCCAGCACTTGCCTCTTGGACACGTGGCGTTTAAAGGCAGTGATTCGGGGTTGGGAGGGTGGGGGAGGGGAGGGGACACACATCATGGGTTCAAAACCCTCACAAATTGTGGAGTCCCATAGCGTAGTGATTAGAGCGCTCCCCTCGCAAATGAGAGGACCCACAGCATCTCGGTTTAATATCTCAATGCCTCCGACAATCCAGTGCTCCCATTCCCCTCAGTACCACTGCAATAGGAGCTAACGTCAGCATTTTATATCGATAAATCAAAAGGATTGAATTTCCTGTCCTCCGGGGGAATGCAATCAAGATATGGCTAGTAGCAATTTCACTGTAACACGGGATTTACTGACGACAGAAATTACACCACCAGAGAAGGCCACAGCTCGTCTAAAACTGGTGCCGCACCCCCCCACCCCCCCACTCCAATCCCACTGGAACTGTTTGCTCCAAACCCATTTCCCACTGTGTCCTCATTGCTTTTTCTCAACAACAACTTGCATTTATATAGTGCCTTTCACGTGAGATAGGTCCCTTGACAGTGGGAGAGTCTGACCTTTTCCTCAAACACGTAACCAAATGTTTGTGTCCTATAAAGCGCTTTGAGATGTCTCAACGACATGATAAGGCGCTATATCAAATGCAAGGATTATTATGATTGGTAGTAGTAGTAGTAATAACCAGTCCATGGAGCCTGTTAGATCACAGTGGATCTTTTCATCCCCTTTCTGTTTATTTTCTCCTCTCCCACAAACTTGGGATCCAGACCAATATTGTTGAGCGCTTTGAAACTTCCACCTGATGTGCTGTTTAAATGTAAATTGTCTGACACTTCCCAAATATATTTGAAGCATTAATGATAATAATAATCCTTGCATTTGACATAGGGCCTTATCACGTCGCTGAGACGTCTCAAAGCGCTTCACAGAATATACTGTAAAAGGGATTGACTGTGTATTTTGTGGGTGAAACACAACAACAACAACAACAAATTTGTACAGTGCCTTTCGCATCAGGAGGATGTCCCAGTGATAGCCAATTCAACATACACAGCAGTGTCCCACAAACAGTCATGGAGTTGAATGACTACATTTTTTTTTATCAGGAAGAGATTATTACCCCCGGAAAGCGATTCATCAATCGACTAACATCTGGGTTCCTGTTTGCTGTTAGGTAAACAGATGTGTGTGGAGTAAGGAAACTTGCCCAAGGTTTCTCCCCGCCCATGGAATCGAACCTGGGTCCTCTCGCTCGTGAGGAGAGTGCACTATTCACGGCGCTACAGGACTCCACTTGACAGGAGGACATATCAAAGCGCTTCACTGGAAACCCTGTAAAGCATAGCGACCTTGTGTAACATCCCTATAGATTCCGCCTTTGGGCCGTGACTCCCCACACAACGGAATGATTCCTGGTTTCAGTGTGGAGAGAGTTTTAATTCAGTCCAGTGAGATTCAGCAATTGTTCCCGAATTCCGGGCGAAATTTACAGCCCTGGTCTTTTTATATGAATAAATATTCCTGAAGGTCCTACGGTCAATAAGATCGTTTATATGCATGTTATGCTACTGACCCCCATTGTAGCTCACCCGGCGTTCTACAAACTAAGGAACTCTCTAGCGTTGGATGTTAATATTCCCTCTGATCCAATTCTTTGGGGGTTTTCAAGCGGTTTTAATAAAATGCTTTCACCAGTGAAGACGTCCTCAGTAAAAATCCCAAAAGACTTGGAGCATGCTTGCTGAAATCCGGGGAGGAATTAGCTTGATGGTTAACAGGATTCGGACTGGATGCAAAAAGTGTGGGGGGGGGGGAAACAAGGAACACTGACATCTTTGTGTTATTATTTTTATTATCTCTGTAGCAAAGTTAAACTCTGTTACTGTCGTTCAGAATGGATAATAGCTGATTGGAATACTGGCTCTAATGCCTGTGTAATAGGTTAGGCTTTAAATTGGACATATCCTCACTCGGCACATTTTTGTGGTGTTTTGTTTTGGAAATTTCAGCAATACTCGAGAGTTTAAAACTAGGCTGAAGTTTTCAACATTTCACAGGGCGTCTGACCAATAAGAAACTCGTGCGTGAATTAACACAAGGA